ATGGCATCAGAAACTCAAATATATTAATCACCTTAAAAACATACGTAGAGGACATGTGACAAGAAAAAAAAATACATAGAGGACACAACCTTATACAAGCAGAGAACCATTGAAAACAAAAATGGCCAGTCCCTTAGGATGAACACAGCAGGGTCCTACAGACCAAGCTATACCAACTATTTACACCAAAAAATGAGAAAAAACAAACAAAAGAAGTTTAAGCACTCTCACTATCAAATAACTCCTTTAGCCATAAGGGAAAGCACAGAGACATAAGATTGAAGTCTATTCTCTTTTGTAACACTTTGAGCAATGAGAAGTTCTCTTCTATTAGCTTCTTTGTTCTCCAACCTGAATCTCCAAAAACTGATTCGTCCCAATGCATTTTGAATTTCTGCATAATGTGCACTAGAGGAAGGCCAAGCTTTAGGTCTTGTTGTTGTCCCAACCAATTCCAAGATATCAGAAGCAAAGATGACCATGTTGACTCTATGAAAACCCATACATTCCACTGCTTACAACACGAGTAGAATAATCCCATACATTCAACTAAAAGACATAACACACGAGTAATCCCTCTTTTGGGCTTAAGACTCTCTAACTATAGTCGAGGCTTTGCTTTAAGCAAAAGGGGATAAACACATGATATCTAAGAAAATCGGCTGAGTTTGATTGGGATGATCCTTAATCCTGATTGTCAAAGATTGCAGATATGGTTTTGGATATACCTCGTAAATGGCAGTTGGCCAATACGGTCAGAGGGGTTGTAACGACCACGATCCAAGTTTTGTGAATTATGGTCATGCGTCGATCGACGCAAGGTTGATTTGAGCCGGTTAGTTCGATTTAATCGCCGTTTTGGCGGTTTGGGTTAAGAGAAAACCCTAGGACTTCATTACAAAATGAGGGGGTCGCATTTTCCAGAACTTTTAAGTGAGTTTTGGGTTTCCAGAGAGTTCCAGAGAGAAGAGAAGGAGATCCTTGAGTGTTCTTGTTCCTTAAGACGTGATTGAGGGTCTGAAGGCAGTTTTGTCTGGTTCTATAAGAGGAGAGTAACGGCCAATAAGAACAGATCGGATTGGAGCAAAACTTTCAGGTTAAGTTCTCCACTCTCTCATCTTGAGATGGGAGAAAACGGTTTGTCAATCGGATGTGTATTCTAGGAGTTATCATTGAGATGGGAGAAAACGGTTTGTTAAACAATTTATTAAGAGAGGTTTGTGCAGTTGAGGGTCTGCAATCAGTCCACTTAGAGGTAGGATTATCGTTGAACGAGAAGTAGTCAGAAGACGATCCATATAGCGTAGGTTAACTCTCTCTATCTAGTTTTCAGATCAGGTTTCCAATCCTAATTTTGAGCGAATCTCTGTTCTCTGTGTGCTTTCGAAGTCAACGTGTCGTTCCTATTTTCTGAAATCCTAATTCGGTTTAGGTGGTTTTTTGAGAAAGGATCGAGCTTTTGTTGGTTCGTGAGGAAGGGATGATAGAGCAGATCTCTTTTCGTAGGATGTGAGAGATCTCTTTTCGTGGTTGCCTTTGTCTAGAGTTGATCCATGATCGAGGTGAGTGCGGGACCATAGCTTATCTGGGTAAAGGAATTGATAGGATGCGATTGATTGTGTTTTTGGATCGATTTCATGTTTGTTTGGTGATTTTTGTGCAGGAGATTGATGTGATGCATTCAGGAATTGATCCGGGAGAGGATAGGTTCGATTCCTGAGTTTTGCGTCGTGCGTCAATCGACACCGGGTTGTGTGTCGATCGACACACTGTAGTTGCATCGATCGACATAGAGTGTGTGTTGATCGACGCATGGTCTGTTTTGCTGATTTCGAGTTTGATTGTTGTGTTATGCATTCTTGGTTGCTCATCCTAGT